GTGGCGACCCGAAGGGAACCAGAAATCGAAAACGTTATCTGTATCGGTATCCGGTGTCGCCTAAAGACCGTGAATCGAAAAATCACGTCACAGATTATACAATTTTATAAAAGTAACTAATTTTTACCTTGGTCTTTCTTTTCTGTCCATTAAAAACAGATTTTTATCACGTCCGACAATAATTACGTAATGATTCGCACAAGTCACAACCACGATTTGGTATTGAAATTTGAATCTGATTATGTGCGGGATATGTTCCTGCGTGCTTTAGAGAGATTTGTAGAAGAAACGGACCTACAGCGTGAAAACATAACGAACATCACAAGCACGGCAACGCTGAAACAAGCAGTGACCCAAAAGGATCGACAAAAAACATTAGAGAAGTTTTTCCGTGTTGTATTTTCTCAGGTAAGAGGACTGACTTCAATATTTAATCAAGGCAAAATTTATCTCTTCTCTGTACTACTTTGCTCCAACGTAATCTTCAGGCATTTCACATTGCACATTCGGAAGAAGAAATACTGCAGATCGATTCAAAGGTGGCCAAGGAAGTTATTTACACTGAATTGACTCTAACCGAGTTTGCTGAATCGCTGGACATGCGACCAGATTCTGCTTTCATCACGAAGGTACAAGAAATATGAATTTCTCAAAGCTCCAAACGCAGTTTCCAAATCTCAGGATCATTCTTACAGATCTTCAACTTGGTTGACAAGGATAAAAATGGATTCATATCATTTCGCGAATTCGTCGACATGCTAGTGGTATTTCTGAAGGGGAGCGCCGAGGAGAAACTAAAATTAATGTTCGACATGTACGACATAAATGGAACAGGTAGACTTAAAAAGGCGGAATTTACTGACATGTTGAGGTAATACCAGATCATTTATAGATAATAGATCTCTCGGTATCTGTGATCGATAATCAAATTTTTATGATCTATCCGTAGATCCTTTCTAGAGACTGTAAATGCCGACGTGGCAGAAAATGAATTGGATACCGTGGTAAACAGCATGATGACGGATGCCGGTCTTGCCGAAAAGGAGGATATAGAGTTACAAGATTTTCAAAATTTACTAGGCGAGTTCAATGACAAACTGAGCTACGCCGAGCTCGAGTTCAACGTCAACAGCGAAGGGAAAAAGATGAACGCTGCAAAAAGCACCTTCATAGGCAGAGCCAGGAACACAGTTGAAAGTCTTTATGCCGACCCAAATGAATTATTATCTAGAGTCGAGGGGAAGAGTGGAGGGCAAACGAAATCAATGCCAAACGAAGCTTCATTGGGAGAAACCGTTGAAGTGAAAATGTATCACGCACCGATGAAACGAATGAATTGTTTTTGGTATCCACTGACGAAGTACATTGCTGACAAGCAGCTTCAAATATTTTGGATTTTTCTATACACCAGTGTCCTCCTGGTAATATTTGCTGAGCGAGCTTATTGTGAGTTGATAAGAATTCTTTCGACTTTCTTGACCTTTTTCTTTTATTTTTGGCATATTATATATACTGGATTCATCCCTTTTTCTAAACCATATAGACTATTCCGTGGAACGTGAGCATTCTGGACTCCGTCGTATTGCCGGATATGGCGTCACTATTACCAGAGGCGCAGCATCCGCCATGATGTTCACATATTCCACACTTTTATTGACAATGTGTCGCAACACCATTACATTTTTGAGGGACACTTTTCTGCAACTGTATATACCTTTTGATTCTGCCATCGAAATGCACAAGTACGTCGCTTGCTGGTCCCTTGTATTTACAAGTAAGTATTTCGTGTCGTTCAATTATTTTCGATTTTGGAAAAATCTTTTTTTATTCTTAGTATTTTTTTCTTTTGATTCGCGTTCTACAACCAGTTCTTCACGTCATTGGACACAGCTTCAATTTCTATCACATCTCAACGCAGACCGCTGATGACCTTACTTGTCTGTTTCCCAACTTTTTCCATCGGTAAATCAATCAGCACTTTTACTCATTTTTATTTAAACATTCTTTTATTTATATTCGACAATTCAACAGCACCCACGAGCTTCCGAAATTTGAATACTGGGCCTGGGAAACTATGACGGGTGTCACTGGAATGGCTTTGACAATTGTTACTACCATTATCTTTTTGTGCTCTTTGCCAATTGTCAGAAGGAAGCTTCACAGCTGGTTCTCCTTCACGCATTCTTTTTATCCAGTTTTCTATATTTTGACCGTTCTACACGGAACCGGTCGATTGATTCAGGCAAGTCAAATCGATCGGTTTAGATTCGATTGATCCGATGTCTTATATATAATTTTCAATACAGGAACCATTTTTTCACTACTTTTTCTTGGGTCCCGTGATACTTTTTGTCTTGGACAGAGCTGTTACCGCCACGAGGAAGACTATAGAAATACCAATACTGAAAGCCGATATATTGCCATCGGGTAAGGAAGAAAAAAATAGAAAATTTTGAATAATTCATTTACACTCTGATCAATGAATTTAAATGTATTCCTGTATGTTTAAATATACACAGACGTGACGTGTATAACTTTTCCAAAATTACCAAACTTCCAATATAAATCTGGACAATGGGTAAGAATTTCTTGTTCCATATTGGACACTGAGGAATATCATCCCTTTACGTTATCATCTGCACCAAACGAGCCGAACCTAACCGTTCACATAAGAGCAGTCGGACCGTGGACAATAAATATTCGCAAAAAATTGGATCCGACACGAACCCCATTGCTTCGTTTACCCATGGTAAATACTAACGCATAAAATGTCCATAAATAAGCAAGATATTCATTTATGAAAATTTTTAGATTCGAGTAGACGGTCCTTATGGGGAATCTCATCAAGATTGGCACAAGTACAAAGTCGTAATTATGGTGGCAGGTGGAATTGGTGTGACGCCATTCTCTTCGATTCTCAAAGACATAGTGTACAAGTCAAACAGCCACGTGACGGTCGGATGCGAAAAGGTTTTCAAAAAACACAACAGACGCATCCATCTCTATCAAAATGATTTGTCGTACTCCTATTAATCTTAAATTTTCATCAGGTTTACTTTCTCTGGGTGACAAGGACTCAAAAACAATTTGAATGGATGGTAGACATTTTGAGAGAGCTCGAACAGTCTGATCAAAAAGGCACAGTCTCGGCTCACATTTTCATCACGCAATTTTACCAAAAATTCGATCTCCGTACTATACTCCTGGTTGGAATTCATTATAAAATTATTAATCACAATCGGAACGGCCATCCTGCTTTCGATTTCATGATCTTTTATTGTCTTTCAGTACATTTGCGAGCGACACTTTCAAAAGGTCTCTGAAAAATCTCTCTTAACGGGATTGAAGGCAGTCACGCATTTTGGTCGGCCAAAATTTCGAGATTTCTTCAGTGCCATTCGACGATTACATCCCGACGTAAGTATACAATTTCATTTAAATAAAATGAAACAGAAATTGTTCATTCGTTACTTACATCTGCAGATAAATACCATCGGTGTCCTCAGTTGTGGTACGCCTTCCATGTCAAGAACAATAGATGCAGCCTGCACATCACTCAACATTTCCGACGACAACGACGTCCTTTTTAAACATCGCTATCAAATATTTTAATTTCTGCAATTTCTTAGCCACGTTCTTCGTTAACCGATTGTGAATCAATATGAAATGAATAATAAGATGCTGAGGATTCAATAATAAAGATAACAAATTTAATTAACCAATCGTGCTTCCTTCAATCCCTCCACTGAAGAAATCAGACTAGCCAACAATAACTGACAGTGTCGTCGCGACGTAGGGATGTTTAAATTCGACGCCGAACGTCGTCAGGCGTCATTGGCATGCACGAATGTCGGAGCAAGATAATTGAGAACTGTGATATTCAATTAATCGGAATAATAAACGAGTTGTATAAGGAAAAATGTTGAGACAGTGTATTTCACGATCGTTAATGTTGCAACGAACAAGAAATGCGATAAAAGCCGGTGATGATAACAGATAATTATTATTTATGCTGAATAGTGAGAGAATATATCGACTAACCTCAAAATGTGGAATCTGCGTTTTCCTCCCAGAATCCTCGAGGATGTTTTCGGTGAAAGGTAGCGAGTCTGGTCAGCAGCAGGAGAGTCCACGGGTTCAAGAATTCAGAAAGAAACTAAGAGAACGCACGCCTATTGGTATGTTGTTTCACTTATTCCCGTGATCTGTCACGCGGGGTGTCTGAGACACCCCGACCCAATGCTTTTAAAATGGACAATAAAAACGCGACCATTCTTGGAATTGATTTGACTTGAAAATTATTTACAAGTTTTGGTTAGATTTGTTGTTGTGCGATTGCAGGTCGTTATTGATAATCAGTTGGGATAATATATTAGGCTTGCGACGATTATTTTCTATTAGACGGCCTAGAATGTCACGGGTTTCTCGCTTTCTTGATTGGCAGGAAGGCTCGAGGAACTCGAAGAAGGTAAACATCCCTATCAGGAAAAGGAACCCCTTGAAAGGTTCCCTGATGACACCAATCCGGAGACTGGAGAAGTCGGTGGCCCGCGTGGACCTGAACCCACTCGTTACGGCGATTGGGAGAGGAAGGGGCGAGTTTCGGATTTCTAGTTAAGTGAATTGATTTTAGAATTTCTTTGACATAATTAATTGTTAGAACTCTGTACGCTGTAGTGATTGATTAAACAGTAGCCTAGCAACCGTGTTAAACAACGGTTCGAATTAACATGGAGATCAACCCGTGCGTTTCTGATAGGATTAATTGGAAGATTTTATAGTTGGAAAAATATGCAGGCATTTCAGGGAATTCCGAGCAGAATTACAATTGGCACGATTTTAACAAGAGTACCTTGTAAAAGTCTAACAAGAAATTTCTCACAAGGTACGAAATAATTTACTAGGGCAAAATTGTTTTCTAATGATAATAAAATTTACATGGGAAAATATCAGTAACCGATGATACCGGGAAAAATCCAAAATCAAAACTTCCTGATCCTGAAGCGAATAAAATTAATCCAGAATCGGAACGGATGAAGAAATTCCACGAAAAGCTAAAACTACAACCCCTACAAAGTTCGTAGCCCGAGTCATCTTTCTTTTTCTTCTTTCCATCTCGTAGAATAATTAATAAAATAGGACTTTCTCCTGGGATGCGTTACGTTGATCTTCTGCTGGTGGAAACTGATCCCAAGAGTGGAGAACTGGTTGCGAACACTGAAAAGGATCCCACGAAATGGGGTGATTGGCAAAATGGAGGAAGAGTCAGCGATTTTTGATAACACGACGTAACATAAAGTAATCTCAAAGATATTCGACGTATCGCCTTCATTCGAAGATACAAATGCATATTCAAAGTACAAGTCAAAATAACAATCTCGTTGAATCTTTCAATCGGGGATAATCAGTAGCACCGCATCGGACAACTCTTGGCGTCGTGATTTAAAAGAAAAAAAAAGGAATAGGTATCTTTTTTAGACTCGTCTGACTGTCCGACTCGCGGGATGTAGAGGGATACAATAAAGATTATCAAAGATCGCTAATAAAAATTTCACCTGATCGCCTATCAATCTTCCCTGAGGCACCATCGACTATGTAATCGAACGGTTCTACCTCTTAACGATATTTATATATATATCTATCTGTATAAACTATAAAGTTTTATTGATGGCCAACACATCGCGCATCATCATGTCCCTGAGAGTCCACAAGGCATTCACGACGTTGCCATGATTGCCGACGCCATTGCCCAGCCACTCAGCTGGAAGTTTTGTCAGATCCGGAATTTGCGTGTTTTCTGCAGTGGCATTCATTTGTTTATCCCAATTTGATATGTAGCGATTATCCACGTTCAGTCCCTCGATATACCTAAAAAAAATTAATGAACATTATCAACAGCCATTGCTGATTGCACGAATGGCGACAATTTAGCTCTGTGAATAGGTTACCGTAAATATGCATCTGAATGTAAGACACGACTAGGTCGTGGCGGCACAGCAATAAATAACGGCTCCGGTTGTTTAGTAGCTGGAACACCGCTGGTTTGTGTTGCTGTTGCTATTGTTTCTACGAGCAATTATGCATATGAACATTCGACGATAAAAAATTATTATTTTCAATTCTAAATGCCGCGAACGACTTACCAGCTTCCATGGGGGGTAGTATCGTAGGACCTTTCGAAGCCATGTAATTTCTATAGTAAAGTGATATGAACCATATTAGATGGTGCGTCAAACGAATGATTACAGACTCTGGATGATACGATAAAGAAAAGGATGCTGTAGATTTTTTTCTTAAATTATGATACATACTTGCTTCTCTCAGAAGGGGGGACAATGCGTCCATTCCCTTTGAGAATGTGAACCTCTTTGACGTGCCTTGCGAGTCGTTGTACACTTGGAAACGGAGGTACAGTTTTCTTTGTTCTTCCGCATCCGCGCCATTGGCACTGAAACTCCACGTCTGAAAGGGAACATTGAAAAGATGAAAGACTGCGGTTTTGAATTACTGATTAAACAATGTACAGAAAGACATTATTTCTTACCACTGGATGCGTTTAAGAAAGAGTTCTGCACGTGTCCACTTTGCTCAGCAATACAGTGATCGATGCAATCCGTCATGTCCTCAAATTGCCAGTCACAATTGTCCCAGCAACATTCGTAGACCTGATCTGGTGAAGAGTTGGCAGCATTAACACTTGTTCCTTTCGTCGATTGGTTGCCGCCGCCACCAGCGCCGGCACCACCGACGCCTCCACCACCAGTACCAGTTCCTCCAGTTCCGAAGAAGCCACCGGTACCGCCACCAGCGACACTTCCGGCGCCGCCACCGCCACCTGCTCCGCCACCCCCAGCACCACCACCAGCTCCAGTACCGTTCGGACCATCTTCGTTCATCTTGACTGCACGTTCCTCCCACGCCTGTTTCTCACCAGCTGGCAACTTCCGCCACTGTAAAATTTCAAGGGGTCTCATCAAGACTTTCCTTCGACCATTGAATTGGTCCGTCTTGTCTTTCGACATATTTGACGATTTCTTCATCCCCGCCATGTCCCCACGTTATTACAAAAACTATGCGACTATTAAAAATGCCTAGGTGCATCTGGCGAGATTCAAAAGAGGATGGTGCCTTCGGTCCGACGTGACGTTCTTAAGCATGAGTTCATTAAGTAGCAACACGCGACGTCATCCGAGATCAGGTTCTGCAGTGAACGAACAGCCAAATAGATGCGTGAAAGCAATGCTGCTGGGAAGGATTTTGGATGAAAAATTATAATAAAATAAAACATACACAGTAGTCACGACCTGCGTCCTCATCCTCTCGAGAAGCTCGCATCAGTAAATAAAGTAAAAAAGCAAAAGATGAAAATGAAATAAATACCTCATTGCCAACAATTCGGCTAATCTCTCCGAAGGACGATTCAGGATTGTTTTGCGTAATCTGCGTTCGCATTTTACTCGAATACAAAATATAGCCCGTAACTAATTTCTTACCCGTCGATTTCTAAACAGAAGAGAATACAAATTATAACAGTACCGTCGATCGCAACACGTCTTCTTAAGGATAAAAGAAGCTATCTATATAATCGTACGTACTTGTCCTTCTAGAAACAAAAAGAAGAATCTTAACAATCAACAAAAAATTCAATGTATAGCAACTAACGAAAGAAACAAAAAAATATGCTGGCATATTTCTTCAAATTAACAAAAGGATTAACTCGAAAAGTAAAACCGACGATAATCCGGTGTGCGTTTTTGAAATAGGATTTTTTTGGGGCTCCAAGGATAGCACGAAGGGTCGTACGAGATCTCGTTACACTGTTACGTACGAGGTATCGTACGAGACGTACCAAGAACTTTTTGGGAATTGCAGGAGACAGGCAGGGCCTACCTTTTTTGTCGATACAGGTGTCTGAGCATTGGAGCATTGGAGCACCGGCTGAGCTTCGCTGGATCCGACGGACGGTGGTCCACCGCCATCCATGCTGTCCTCACCCACTCCCACTCCCACTCCCAATCCCACTCCCATCCCGAGCACATCTGGCTCCAGCTTCGGTAGCAACGGCGATGCCTCCTACACCCATTTGCCTTACGTTACCTCCTCCTCTCCTCATTCTAGACTTCAAGAGTCAGCCCATTCCCAATTTTCAATTTCCCATTATTCATCAAGTCTCATTCACTCGTTATTTCATACACTCAACCAAGTCGCACGCACACGTGGGTAGATAAATTCTTGAATAATCACGTCGCCCCTTTCTCCCGTATCTTTTTTTTTTCTCCATCTTCTTCCCCCTTCTCGTCTCACTGTGATTTTTCTTTCTTTCTTTTCCAATTTTCTCATGTCTGATCCTTTATGGAAAACGTGGTTGTACAGGAAGTATTATTGGCACAGACATTAATTATCTATTTTGTGTATAAAAACAATTTTTCAGACTTTTCGGATATAATTTGAGATACCGAGCAATTAAATTGCTCGCTAAAAATTCCGCAACGAAAGGAACGTCCCGCCAAGCACGAGGTACTCGCGGTAAAGACAAAGGAGACCAAGAGAGAAACAAAAACAGTAAAAAAAAAAGGAAAAGAAACAAGAAAGGTGAGAAGAGAATGGAAAAAATTAATTAAACAACAACAAAAATACGAATATGCCGGCATAAAACAATGTACATGCGTAATATTAAAATATTGTCCGGCAGAGCGCCATTTTGATCTTACTCTGTGCCGCATATAGAAATGGGCATGCACGGATTTTTTACTGGAAGAAGTAGCGTGACGTGATAATCGAACAAGAAAAATAATAATGTCGTCAGCGTTGACGACGACGTCACAGAGACGTCTTGTTGTCGTCGTGAACGTGAATGAGTAATTACCATTTCAAAGTGAGCCATAGTAGATACAACCGACTTGGCTTGGGATGGCGTCTGTGCGACGTCGCTAGGCACCTATAACACACCCGCACGCATGTGCAATCTGTTCCGGCCCTTTTCTTTTTCTCTTTCTTTTGTACGCGTTACAAATGGCGCTGAACGACCGCACATAGGACTAAGAGAATTTTTTGCCAAGACCTTATACTGACCTTTGCCGGATTGATGGGCCGACGGAAAAAGTAAATCTCGTCGTCCGTAACTGCCGAGGTATGATTAAATTTCTTCAAGCCATCCGCACTGAGCTTCCTTATCAAATTTTTGCTCTCATCGTAAGTCGACTCGCATATGAATACGTCGTCTTCCGGGATTTCCGTTGGACGACCTGAAGAGAAACGGCGGACTTAGAAAAGTTGTGACAAGAGGATGATGAAAATTAAATAAGACCTTATACTCACTGCATACAAATTCACCGTAGTCCAATACAGCACACTTTCCAACAATGGCGACGATCGGATGTGTACCATCGACCGTGGACAAGAAGAGTTCCTGCTTGTAGAAGAGTTTGGTGGGTGCGTGAGGAATTTCCGTAGGAGTCAATAACCAGGGACCCTTGAAGTAACACTTTCCGCTGTAAAAGGAATGATAAGATATCGTTATAATCAAAGTATGTGGATCGTTGTAATTATTTACTGGGTTAACTGACTCTTTCGTCGACCAGATGGCATCGATCTGCGCAATTTGTTGTCTTCCGCCATCGGTAGCGACGTAGACAAAGTCACCGGTTTTCACGGTTCCCGTGCACGTGTTGTACTGCTCGTAATACGTGTTCTCGGTGTCGTCCGGATTGAACATTATCACATTCTACAATGCAAGATAGATTAGATAAGACATTCAGGCGAGCGTCTACGATTGAAGTAATAGCCAATGAAAGAGAGGGGATGAAAATAAGTCCCCACTCAGCGAGTAAAGACTACGACTATCCTAAATTATAGTCATTTGTGATACTACATCTCGATGTACTCACCGGTCTCTCCTTTTCGATGAGTTTTTCACCCTCCTCCAGCTCAGCAATCTCTTCCTTATGCTTCTCGAGTCGCTCCTTGTAAACCGAAATTACACGTTTTGGTTCCAAGGCTCGTTCTCTTGGCACCAGCTTCAGATGATCCGGATCGAAGTTCCAAACTTTTATTTTTTTGAAGGCTCTAGCCTTCGTCGAGTATCGGGACTCGCAGACGTAGACATCCTTCTCGGGAAATCCTTCGGGCTGCATTCTAAAGTAGTCCTTGACGCTCAGGACGCAGCAACGACCAGCTACTTTACCCAGAGGCACAGCAACGTGAGCATCGCTCTTGAAGAGTTCCTTGTCGAGAAACTTTCTAGAGGCCACGTGATACGTTTCACTAGGTCTATAGAATAAATTTCCATAAAGCATCTCTTGCCCTTCTGCATTTGTCCAAAGACGCTCAATGAGAACGACGCTCAGTTCCATGCCGCGTTCCGATGGCTCAACGTAAGCAAAGTCCCCGGCTCTATAAACTTCCTGGTTGAAGCTCATCGAGTTGCCACCGTCGGCAGCTACACCGTTGCCGCCAGCAGCTGATACACCAGTTGCCGTTGCTCCTGTCGTTGGTATCGTTACGGAACTCAGTGCTGTTGGAGCAGTCGCTGTCGTTGTACTTCCGGATGGTAGAGCAACGGGTGTCAGAAGTGTTGTCGCCGACTCCTAAGGAATCAAAACATAGGATGAACATTTTTCTTGTTGTTTTGTGCTGCTGTAAAACGGCACAAGGTGTACCTTAACGCTGTCGTTGCCGTCGCAACTCTCCTCCTCGTTCGGCAGCGACAACTCCTGCTGAAGTTTTATGCGCTTCAGCTCAACAACTTGACTGGACAAATCAAGCAGAGTGTAGTTGAGAGCGGGAGAGTGCAGAAGGTCACCGCAACGAGTGACCTCGTCCCGAGTACGCAGAAAGAACGCCTGTAGCTCGACGCTGTCTTCGAAAGGCTGAGAATCGCTTCGCGACAACCTGCGTGCTCTTTCCAGGCAGGAGAAGACATCCTCTTGGAAACGATCTAATCTTTTGTACGCTCCACGGTCCAATCTTCGTTTTATCAGATCCAAGGATAGACCTCGCACTCTGTGATACCCAGAGAATATTAATTAATTCTTATATTCGTACCAACAATCTTCTGATCTGATAACGCTTACTTCTTGCCGTCAATTATGTCGTGCTCCGGAAGTTCTGCCATGGAGTCTGAGTAACAACGACCCTCCTCGTCTTGATGATTATACAGGGCAGTGAATATCGTTGCAAGTATTTCCTGAACGGCAGCTGCCACATCCGGAACACTCTCGTCGTCCTCGCTCAGTTGTAGCTTTGTTTGTAGTACCAATCGTTGCAAAATTAGGGCATCCTGTGCAGAGGAAGGGTCAAGGATAATTAGGACTCTAAAAATGTCCACGCTTACAAGGCCTAAGACAAATTGCAAACCTTATAAATTTGTGAATCGGGCTCGTTGTATTTGCAGGCGTTATCAAACATCAATACAAAGTCTGACACCAGTTCATCCAAAGTTTCATATCCGTTGTTCTTTAAAGTGGAGGCAATTTTCTCCATGTTCATTGGCTGTTTTATGACCTCATAATAATCGGGATACTCATTTTTATTTGGTAATTTCATAAATATTAAGGACAACTGACGACCCTTGGCATCACGACAATCTTTGAGAGTGTCATAGAGGGTACGCAATTTTTGTAAATGTAAAGGTACAACTTTCTTCGGTCTCCTGGATTAAAATAATTCGATATTCTTATTCCTGTGGCTTGGCCCAACGAAATAACACCAGCTTATACTAAAACAACATACCCAACGTTCCTTGTAGGCGTCGATGCTGTCGATTTAATTGTCTTAATTATTTCCGGCAGTGGACCCAACTCTTTCACTTTGTCCATCAAAACTCTTTCCAAAGTATTTGCATCCTCGTAAATTAACGAACCTTCCTCGTTGTACTGACGACAGTTGTTAAACATCAACTAAAAATACAAAAAACAGCAACGCTACAAGTCATCGTTCCTCTGATCGATCAGACCAAAGAAATTTTAGATACGAAATAAGTTATCGTACTTTGAAATCTTGTATCAGTTCATTTTCACTTTGGTACTTTTCAGCCTTGATGTTTGCTTCTATCTGTAGCATGTCAATTGGCTCGGCAATCACTTGATAATAATCTGGATAGATCTTTTTCGATGGTTTCTCCATGAACATTAACATTGGTTGTCGACCATCTTCACACTACAATGCATAAACCCAACTCGTTACGCTGATTGACTATGACATCAAATTTTTCAGTTGGAATCACTTACGACGTATTCTATGACGCACTTAACCAGCGCGTGCAAACGCTTCTTCAGAGGTATGTTGTCTTTGTATTTCCCACGAGTCAAAAGATTCGACGCACGTTTTATTAATTTAGGTTGTTGCGAATTACTTTCCGAACCACTGTCCGAGTCTGAATCCTGATCAAATTCTAAAAGTTCCTGCACCTTCTCCTGCATTATTTTTTGGAGCTTGGCTGCGCACTGAATCGCAGACAAGAAAGATGAGCGAACGAAAATTCGGAGCAGTTTTCTCATTTTACTAACTTCTCTTTTATCAGACTTACCTTGTACAATCTGGAAGTATGAACGTTGTACTTTTTTGCGTTCTCAAACATTATATTCATGTCACCAGCGACTTCGCTAACCGTGCCGTATTCCCCCTTCTGTAAAAATTTGCAAGTTCAATCGTTTAGATGATTAAAAAAAAATAATAGTGCGGACGTTGTAATCAATTTTACGCACTGTTGCCTCACCTTTATCTTTGTGCGAATCTGCAAAAGTGATATTGGATTCTTGATCATCTTATAGTAGTCTGGATAGAGCCGCCTTGACGGCAACTTCCAGAAGTACTCGCTCATACGGATTCCTGAAAATATTTCCCTACGTCAAGTCGTTGAATGAAAAATGAAGGAAGTACCTCGGGCAATCCCACAAATCCGGACAATGAAATGCTAGCGTTCCAAAACAATCACCTTGATTATTTGGAGCGGTTCGAATAGTTTGGAACAGTTGCCACTGGGGATTATCAGATTCTTCTGACTCGGTCGGCTCGTCCTCTTCATCGTCACTCTCCTCGTCCTCATCCGGAAGCGTAGCTGTCTGCGCTATCAGAGACTGCGCCATACCCCTACTTCCTCTTTTGCTCCTCGTGGACGGTGCACCAGTTCCCGTCTTCATGAGATTCCCACCAGATCCAATATCCTGCCTCCTAGTTGCTGCTCCGATTATCTTCTTCAGGAGCTTGGCATCCTTGTATATCTGTGAGCCTGGCTCATTGAACTGGCACGCGTTACGGCACATTAACATTAAGTCTCTTTCCATATCTGAAAGACAATTGTATGCCGCTTCCTGGATCTTCCGTGCGATGGTCTTCAGATCCACTGGTGTCTCGATCACATCATAATATTCTGGATACAACTAGTGACATAAACATCGGACAGTAGAGTTAGTGTCAATTTATTTAATTATTTGTTAGTCACGTGGACGTTTTCGAAAAATATGTGATAAAGCCAAGCAAACCTTCTTTGATGGTTTCAACTGAAACATGGTGTGTAATGGTCTATTGTTATCCATAGGATCCGTTGCTGTCATTACGGCCATGAACAGATCTTCATAAGGCTGTAGGGATTCCTCGTCGGGATTTGTTGAACTCTCGGATGTATCCTCCGCGTCATCTTGTTTTGCTGCCGCTTTGCGTGCCTGAACAATACTTTGCTTTATTTGTAACCATAAAATAGATATCGTTGAATGTCTCAAACAGGATTTTCACACACTCACCAGTCTCCCCACCTTTAGAATGATCTTTCCCTTAGGTTCTGTGTCTTCGTATTCATCCATTATACGATTTTTTGTGTTCACACACAGTTCCCACAGTTCAGTAGCATCTTTGTACTCGGGTGAAGTGCGCTAGTGTACATTGATCAAAATAATTATTTGATTATAGATGTTGCAAAACTAATTTATATTCTAACTATTGAACTCTATAGGATCATGCTATAATGATTCTTGAATACGACTCTAGTAAATGATAATTAAACTACTGAGAGTACCATGTAAAAGGCCTTTGCGTTCTTGACCATCAGCTGAATATCAGCAGCTAGATCATCCATGTCCCGGTACTCGTCTGTCTTTAATTTTTGTTGAACTTTTAAAAGGTCAATGGGGTTTGTTACTACTTCATAGTAACCTGGTTCTTGTCGTCGTTTGGGCACACGAATGAACGCATCGCACAGTAGACTTCCATCCTCTTTTCGCTGGTTTCGAAGTATGTCATACAACTGTTGACATAAATCACTCTGCGCACACGTGCACCACATAAATTAGATCTTCCACATAGATGATCGTACTATCTCAACAAATCATTAAAGGTTTATATCCACCTACAGGATCTAATTTTTTCCGTCTTTTTGCTGGTTCAGGTTGAACATCTTCAGGATCATCCTCTGTGCCCCGGCTAGCCACCGACGACGTCCTACGCCGTTTGTTCATTGTGAAACTAATCTGCAAATCAACTGTAAACGAAGTTGCATTTAGGTGCTGCACAAAAATTGCAAATATACATAATATACAATTGTTGTGATGTCGATAAGGAAATTTCCAAACATTGAAAAGAGGAGGGAATCTAATTAACAGTTGTTCTCGGATTCGTGATAGAAGCACCCAATGGGATCATCTTAATTCTGATATTGCATCGAACAGTTCTCGTATACGGGCAGTAAAGGAGGTATTTTCGAAACAGCATTGTATATTGATTCCGATGAAAAATTTGCCGCCATGACGCACAGAGTGCTACTGAGAAGAGCAAAGCTCCAAGTAGGACGCATTCATAACGGAGGACCCGCTTGGACGGACCTTCGCACTAATTCTGTTGCTCCTCAATTTTTCTCACCTCTGTTGCGACAACTTGTCGCTATGGACACAACATGAAAAAATTTTCAAGTACGTAGGAAAAGCACGTTGAATCTCATTGAAAATTTACGTTGACACACGTCTTCCTGGACGCCATGCCGCAGGTTTACAACAAAACGATCAGAATAATTGTAATTTGGAGTAGGGGGTCCTTCCTTTCCGTATGGCTGATTCCTCCAATGAGGAGATGTGCCAGTGGAGTAGGGTTTCTACCGGCGGTTAGCAGTTAGGCCACGAACGTGTCCAACAATAGACTTCCTACAGTTGTAGATTGTTCTGCATAGTAGCAGTTGTGAATCCTTGTGGAATTGTCGTGTGGCGCTATCCATTGGCTCTGGCTTCTACATCGATAAAGCTAATTTTTACTGGGTGAGTTTAGACACTGCACATTTATATCTAACTGCTTCGTAAATTTCCTTATCATTTAATTTTTTATTTTTTAATGTAATCTTTCATTGTTCAGTCAGCGTAATTGTATTACCTTCTTTATTTATCATTGAACTATCGAGTGGAACGTAAAGATTCATTTACAGGCTCAAGAACGTAATATAAACGAAACATATAAGTAGGAATATTATCGCTATCATTGAACATATCATTTATTTATCTTGACTGGATTGTGGTTTGTCTCAGAGAAATAAGAACGTCGGATTGACAAGAGGCAACAATAGATACGATACGGCGAGTAGAAGGTGATGTGTGATCATTGAGATACGCTCGAGTATTCAAAAACGTAGTGACCTACATAGTGTACCCACATTAATATTCAAACTTTTATAACTTTATATCAAAATATTATACCACTCAAGAACTCACAGTGTATAAGAGTGACTCTGCGGGTGCAGCATTTTCAGTATACTCTAAATCATAAGTAAAATACGAAATAGTCGAATTGAAATAAAATTGTTTATATTTATAAAAAGAAATAAGGATGTGGGAATTTTCGGTTGTCGATACAAAATTCTTGTCAATGTTTGGCGTTGGCATTTGTAGTTTCCTTGTCGGAATTGCACCGGCTTGCTATATATCTTGTTGCAACGACAATAGCAACCATACTCATCAACATCGACCAGGGATAAGACTACTTCTCTCATCGCTCTTATGTTTTGGTGGTGGTGTATTGCTGGCGACGTCTTTACTTCACATGTTACCGGAAGTCAGAGAGTCGCTTCCGCACGAGGCGGAACTGGTCTACGCCAGTGGGTTTCTCTTCTTGTACTTTGTCGACGAGGTGGTGCACTGGTTCAGTCGGGAGAAAAGTAACACTACCAGGTCATCGTATTCAACTAGAACAGTTCTAAAGGAACAACAAGCTGAAATAAATGCTAGAAGAAGAGAAGCAGAAAGTAAAGGAGTCCCAGGATGCACTGACTGCGCTCATGATTATCAAGTTCTTCCAAAGCCTTTTGAATTCAATAATCAGAACAATTACAATGGAATCAAATTCGAACCATCAGCACCGATGTATCGTAGAACCAGATACGGAAGCATTGAAAATATGCATATCACAGATATCGCTGGTGCTGCTGACACCATTGATAACACTGGTCATGATGATACTTTGCTATGCCACGGAAACCATGACGAACCATGTGCCACAACTACGCATACTGGTCTCATTGGACTCTTAGTGGCCTTGACACTACATGCCATTTTGGAAGGACTGGCTATCGGTTTGCAATTAACTGTCAGTGAGGTAAATCATCATTGAAATTAATTAGTACAGCTTCCTTGTAAATTCATGTAATTGTAAATTTTTTTTCCCACTAGGTACTGCTACTTGTTGCGACAGTAGCATCTCACAAGCTCGTTGTCGGTTTTTGTCTGGGTATGGAATTGGCCGGAACTCTCAACTCTGTGATTAAGCAAGTTTTGGCAATATCCTTTTTCTCTGGCGGATCTTCGTTAGGCATCGGTGTGGGTATGCTGGTCTTACGGGTGAGTCCACTTGCATGAAACTGTGATAACCACCAGTAGCATAACGCTGTTCCCTCTAACGTTTACCTATTGCTTGTTTTCTTTGATTAGATAAACAAAGCCTGGATGAATGTTGTGATACCAATATTACGTGGCTTAGCCGGCGGAAGTTTACTGTATGCTACTGTCAGCGAAGTACTTCCTAGAGAACGTGCCAGATGGCATTCCGTTCCTGGTCATGCATCAGCTGGTATCATTCAATTTCTCTCTGTGCTCGGCGGATTTTTACTTATGTATTTAATCAATAATTTCATGATCGAATGAAGTACGATGTTATGCAATTATATCGCGTGGTATACCACACTCAGAAATTTATAAGAAAATCCATGCCCTCGTACTGTAGAAGCCAGAGGATAATTTAAAGAATGGTAGAGCTAGATTGATTTAATTTTTCACAATACATTATTCGCGTCCTTTCGCATATTCATTCTTGACCTTCTCTTCCTATACATTTTTAATTTTTACATTCATCACTGATCTCCTCGTTCACACTTAGATCCGATTGTTTAATGGAATCATAACCTAGAAGAAGATCAACTGCACGATCAGCCATTGCCACTATCACGGAATTTGGCATTCCAGATATTTGCGAGGGTAGAACACTAGCGTCTACTATTCTCAGTCCCTCAACACCTTTTAACCTGGATCAATGAAAAATATTATATTCTTAGGGCACTGTGGAAGATTTTACAATTTCTCGAGCATCACCTCAAATGTTCATCAACGACCGCATTTTCGTCGTCACTGATACCCATTCGGCAAGTTCCACCGGGATGATGACCTGCGATACCACCAACTTTCATCACGCACTTTGCGTATTCAGGATCGCGATAACTCTTCATGGCGTGACGACATTGCTCCAGATCAGGAAGATGAACACTGGCCCCGATCTTACGAAAGCTCGAGCTCTCCAGAGTATCGAGTGCTAGATCAATAGCTGTACGAAGTCAAAATAAAGAAGGATCGCAATGATCTTGACAATTGTATTACATACCCACCTGTTCGCGTACAAGCAACATCATCAGGATCCTGAAGATACGCGGGATCGATTTTTGGAGCATCCAAAGGATCGTCCGAGTGCAATCCAACAAAGCCACGGCTTTTGGTCTTCAAGCAACTCGCCAGATAAATGAAACCTTCGTGTCCGGTATTATTGTATGATGGAAACAGTGCCCTGAATGTCTGAGACAACGTATGTTCGCCTTGTCAGTAAAATGAGATGGCGAACAATTATTAAAATCAGCAATGAAATTTATTGTTGTTATATACCTTCGTTTGAAAGTTAGCGAGGTCTTTCAACATCTTCTCATCGGCGGATCCCATTCCGAATAATAAAATTCCACTGTCGTTCACTCGACCGACACCGATTATTGCATTGGACGCCAGGACTCCTTTTTATCGACAAAATCTCATGGGAATGACAGTAAAATTTATCGAGTTCCTGACAAGTTTTGTGTTACCTGTTCCAAAGACTATGTACTTCAAGACTTGAACAACCGATTGCATCTTCCTCAGAGTCAGACTAACTGGCTTCTCCAAGTTAACGTAAATCGGCACGTTCAAATGATCAAACAAATTCTTCCCAACCGCCGTGATATTTTTACGAAGTACTATCTGAAAAACGTTTAAGATATTAACAGTTGGATTTATACAGGGTACGGGACCAGTTGATTCTGACTCACGTGATGTTCTTCCAACTCTTCAGCTGGACCAATTCCTGACAGCATCAAAATATGTGGTGTATTCACGGCTCCGGCACATAAAATTATTTCTTTTCTAGCTTCTATTCTTGCGACTGTTCCATTTTCAAATCTAACAGCGACACCCTCAACGGCGTTACCATCTTCTCTAAGTATTAGCTGTTTTCAAAATTGCAATTTGATGTCAAGCGTTAATCGGATCCAGTTATAAATTGTAGTACCTGGGTAACCAGGGTGTTGGTCAGGAGACGAAGACTGGATAAAACAGGTCGCAAATACGTGTGATAACTGCTGCGCCGAGCGCCCTTCAGCAGAGTAGAACTGGCGCGCCGGAAGTGATGTCTGGATTCGTCAGCTCTTCCGGAATTTCGAGAGACTTCATCTCCAGCTGCCAAGAATACTTTAGCCAATTCGTCTTCGGATGGTATGCCTTCACTCAAAGAAATTTTAGATTCGAAACGCCGGAAGTAAGGACTAAGATCTTTGTGATTCCAGCCTGTGGGCCAGTTGGCGTAGTCATTCGGTCTTCCGAAGGAATGCACCAGGTAATTGAGCATACCACTTCCTCCTACACCTTTTCCGCGCGGCCATATTTGCTTCTGAATAAAAAAGACATTGAACGAGAACCATCATACATTGTTTTAATGAATAATTGATTGTATAATTATAATTTATGCTTGTCTAATTACGTTATCCTTTAGACCCCAAGACGAAAATTTTTGGGATTCTGTCGAGTAGGACCAATCCAATTTGGTACCCTGCATTAGTGGTGCCGCCAGTGGTACACTCGAGAGCCAATTAAACTCTTCTCCTGCTTCAATCAACAGTACTGTCAGATTGGTCTCCTGGGAGAGACGGGACGCCACGATGCATCCAGCTGATCCGGCACCAACTTCAATAAAATTTTTATCGTCTTGTAATCTTTTTGAAAACAATTGATTTTATTGAGACGTACAATTTTTTCTACTTTACTGTCAAGTCTTCATGTTTACTAACCCACAATGTAATCGTAGTGTTGAGTTTCAGGGCATGTTTCAGAGTCCTCGTTAGTCCAAAGTTCAAAATCATTGTATTGGTACAACAGACATCCGAGCACAAGAATGAGGAAGCTGAAGAAGAATACTTTATGACTCCACATATTACGAAAGCAAGCGAATTAAGAAACTGAATTAAATGCTGCACAAAATTTTAATAATTTTTTGTATTATTTTATATGATTCTGAGGCAATGAATAATATTGTTGAGAGATAAAATTGGGTTCGTGTTGGACCTCTAGACGCTGGTGTATTCGCGTGGTCGACTGCTCTAGAGGAACGAAAGTCGATCGATTCCTCACCTAGAATTCTTTATTTATCGGATGCCGAAGCCCTATCGGAACATGACAGCTTGCTAATGTGGAAACTCCAATTGGATATATCGTGACCTTTGATTTATTAATATCTACTGCAGTTCAGCTCTCGATAAGTTACTTTGTTAAAATAGTGCCTGCATATTGAACATTGTATATTAAGAAAATTCTTTAACTTAAAACCAGCCTGTGTTGACCCAGGGCATTTGTAAAAATGATATTTTTATTTCTCTTTTTATTCATGATTCACAATAAACGAAGCCTGTGTCTTGAGGCGGCATCGCTTCAATCGAATAACTGGTTATAGCAGATTTTCGGTAATGACTTACTTGCGCACGCATATCTATGTTTTTGTATTTCAGGACTGAACGTACGACAGTTTGCAGTGGTAAAGCACAGTCTGTGTAAACATGGCTGACGATGGAAAGAAGATTTCATTTGGATTTTCAAAATCCATTAAAAAGACAGCCCTGAAAGTTATACCACCACTGGAACAAAAGAAAGTCGACTTCATCGAGTGTCTTGATGAGAAAGCCATCAAAGTAATTGGGTGAGTTATTTAATTCTTACATATGCAATCGATTAAAATATAAACTTAACCAAATTTGATCGTTTCTTTCACGTTTGATGTAATTATTTATTGCAATTAAGCCTTTTTGTATGATTTTTTATTGTAGATTAAAAAAACGTTGTTTTACAATAAAATTGTATTGATTTTTAGTGGAGAGGAAAAAAAAGATGAACCACTCGTCATTCCTATGCTAGGTTCTAAAACTTGGCACGATAGGATTATTAATAAAATCGATGCTGACGTATTTGAACCTAAAACTAAACCAGTAGAAAATGGGACTGTTCCACAAATTAATATTAAACAAGAACCTACTGACGAAGTTTTAAACAGCGATGTACCTATGCCAGACACAGTGGTTCCCTCCATAGAACCAACTGCTCAAGTTAAAATGGAAACTGGTGATGTACATAGTGAATCACCTAAAACATTAGAGGAACAGGCAGCTCAAGAGATAATTGAAGATCTCAAATCAAAAGATACGAAAGTAGAGAAGCCTAATGTTTTAACAGTATCCGTTGGAGAGAGTCAATCACTCAAAGGACAGGCAGAGGTAATTATTTTGTTCCAATGTATATACAACCATTTGTTAAATGTTTTATTATTTTTGTAGTCGACACTGGAGGACTATGAACAAATTCCGATAGATGCTTTTGGACTAGCCATGTTACGTGGTATGGGTTGGCATCCAGATAAAGGAATTGGTAAAAATGAAAGGTATGCATTTTTTGCAATGTTCTGATATCGTTAAAATATCATATCGTTAACAATATGTTAAAATATTTATCAGGGTAGTATCAGCAGCATTACCTGAATTGAGACCAAAAGGTATGGGTCTTGGAGCAGACAAAGTAACTTTACAAAAACAAAATGGAACACCTAAAACTAAGGAAGAAGAAGACTTGAAACTTGTTAAGGGAGCATTTGTAAAAATAATTGCGGGAAAACAAAGCAATAATTATGGTCAAATTGAGGGACTCGACGATGACGCTGGAAGACTAATTGTAAAAATGGCTCTTGGAGAGAATACGTTATCCGTCAATGAATTCATGGTTCAACCAGTAACCAAAGCAGAGTATTCAAAAAATGCTAAAGTTTTGAGTGAGTATGTTTAATGTACATTAAAAATAAAAAGTTAATATTAAACGTAGAAGTAAATATTTTTCATCTAGACTTTGATATTATTCTAACTGAATTTTAGATGCTACAAAGTACGAGGAATACAAAAATAAAGAAGAAACGTCAAAGGTTATTCAAGTATCTAGCGATGATGAAAATGATAAGAAGACAGAGAAATTGGATAATAAAAGAGAGCGTAAGAAAGAAAAATTGAAAAAGCATGAACGCTCCACTGATACAGAGAGCAGTACCGAAAGGAAGTCAAGAAAAAGGAAGAGTAACGACAACAGCGAAGAGGAGAAAGAAAAAAAATCAAAGAAATCCAAAAAGTCCAAAAAACACAAAAGACAAGACAGTTCTTGCGAGAGATCCAGTAGAAAGAATAGAAAGAAAGACAAGGAACGTGAAAAAAGAAAAGACAAGAGAACGGGATACTCAGATTCACTGGACCGAAGAAAACACAAGAAGCACAAGAAGTCACGTTCCAGATCGCCCCGGAAATAATGATTAATTTTTTTTTAAATTATAACTGACGCCAACGTGTCATTTTATTTTTACGCTTTTATAATAAAACTTACCTGATAAAATATTGTTCCGAAAATTAAAAAAAACTTGTAAATATTTTAATTACTTTTAATTAGTATCCAAAAATTCTAAGAAATAACAAAGAACTTGAAGAATCTGGAAAAAAAATCTCAATCTTAGTTTTTGAAAGAACTTCACATTAAATTGATTAAACTCAATACTACCTATAGGTATGGATCACGAATCCTTGACGTGATTGCTCCTATCTTTCTAAGATTAAACGCACATTTTATATTAAAAGAGCGCAATAAAGGATATCATGTTCTGCTTATTTGTGTCTTGTAATCTTGTATAAACATCAATATGACGTAACACCGACAAACCTAACCTAAAAACAATGAAACTTGTCAACAGTTTAAGACAAGTAGTGAATCAAGCCTTTGGAACAATGGCAAGTATGTTATATTCAATGTCATTTTCCTGCTCTCAAACATGGTAGTGTCGTTTTAAATTCTCTAATTTCTAATCTTTTATCAGGTCTACGCATATCCTTGGTTCAACTGGCAGTTGGTAATGATAAAGCAGTTAACATCTCCAGAGCTGTATCTTTTATTCAACGTGCCAAAGAAGAACAAGCGGATCTGGTTGTTTTACCGGAATGTTTCAACTCACCGTATGGAACATGTAAGTGATTATTGGTTTAAAATTGAACTTTATCATTCACAATAATAATTATATTCTTATTTGACCCAGCACACTTTTCTGCTTATGCAGAAAACATTCCTGAGGGTGAAACAAGTATTGCTTTGTCCCAAGCTGCAAAGGAATATGGTATACATTTAATCGGTGGAACCATTCCTGAAAGAGATGGTGACAAGCTGTATAATACATCAACTGTTTGGGATCATCAGGGTAATCTAATAGCCAAACATAGGAAGGTATGTATACCTAAATATTTAATCATCAGATAAAACAGTCATGTTAGTTTAAACATCATCTTCATTTTCAGATGCATTTATTTGATATTGACATTAAGGGGAAGATGACATTCCGCGAGAGCGACACTCTCAGTCCTGGTAACGAATTGACAACTTTTAAAGTAAAGGATTGTAAAATTGGTCTAGGAATCTGCTACGATATTCGTTTTGAAGAGATGGCCCGACTATATCGCAATTTGGGTTGTCAGATGTTGATATATCCAGCTGCCTTTAATATGACAACCGGGCCACTTCATTGGTCATTACTTCAACGTGCCAGAGCTAATGACAATCAATTGTTCGTTGCTTGTGTATCGCCGGCTAGGGGTGAAGGTGCAGGATATATTGCCTGGGGTCATACACAGTTGACCAGTCCTTGGGCAAAGGTACTTCACGAAATGGATGAAAAGGAGGGTATCGTTACATGTGACGTGGGTAAGTAAAAAGAATTGTGATTTTTGTTAAATATGTTGATTCTATTAATTCCCATTTTCGTTGCTATCAGATTTGAAAATGGTGGAGGAAGTGAGAGCACAAATTCCCGTTTTTTCTCAACGACGCACTGATCTCTATGATACCATATGGAAAGGAAAAAAATGAGCAGTGGCCACAAGAATCATCGAAATACTTTATTTCTAGATCCTTTATAAGTAAGTTACTCTTAATTAATAAAATATGGATTTCTCCTTAGAAGTCAGCAGCCAGTAAATAAAATCATAAAATTTACAAGGACATTTCGGTCTCTTGCTCACGTTTATCCTCAATGCCTTTGTGTCTCAAAAAAAAATAGATCTTCCTTCAAATATAATTCCTAAATATATTATGATATATGAATAATAAGCTCATTTAAATTGTTACGCTCGTCAGCTACGAGGGGTGTTATATAATTAAAGACAGTCGTACAAAAGTAACTGCAATGTTTATTGAGGGTTACAAGTATGTACTCTATGCGTCAGTGGTAACTGCCAATCTGTTGTCAAGCTGACAGTGACAACTGACAGCTCCTTTGACCCTCCGACCGTGGACTCAGTTGACTTAGAATTAGAGTCAGCTGGGACGGTGACATTTCTTCTTCGGCACGGGAGACTAATCGAACCACGATTAGGCTCTCGTGGAACTAGAATAATTTCAAGATAAAGAGCAATCTCCGATAAGCGTCAAAGATAAAACGGAGCCGCGCTAAAGATGGCGTCGAGAAAATGGCGGCTGTTCCCAGGCCACTAATTTATCGAATAAAACGTATAGATATAAGTCTTCGTCGTAGTGGATAATTTTCGTAATGAGTAAACATTACTTTTCTTATTTAAAAAAAAGCTCTACCTTTTATTCCTATAAATAACTCTCTCTCTTTCTCTCTCTACAAAGTTCCTATAAAAAAGTCTCTAAGGACATTATCGTCAATCCCAAAAACGTACACGATATTCGCTATTCATCATAGTAAAATGGTAAATTGCTATTAACGCATAGAAAAGCCAAAATTTCGAATAACAAGACGCGCATGCACACGGAAGTGCATTACATGTATTTAATCTCTCTGAAACTTGAAACTTTTGAGCATCTATACATACATCTACACATCCACTCGATCACAGACTCCCGAAGAAATGTCGAATTACGAATTAAGGCTGCTTCGCCGTGAAGGTTTAAAAGGGCGAAAAAATGTATCATAACTACACTACCACGCCTAGTCCAAAATTCGTAAACAAGGAAAGCATCAAAGTTGAAAAAATTGTAAATTCTCTATTAATCACGAAAAATTTAAATCCCGCATAAGCACCAAACGTTGCGAAGGAAGGCCGTCTTTTACTTCTTCATCCCAAATTCCCCCCACGACCTAATTATATTTTTTCTCTTTCAGCTCAACCACCCCCATCACTTGCTGGCTGATTGTTTTTTGATTGAAAACTGGACATCGTTTCCACAAATTGGTATAATTCTATCTACCGTGTAAGATATGTCAAACCTGAATTACAATTTTTACCATGAGTTTTGTGTTACCAGGGTGCCGTTAGCACAAGGACGACGAACGTCAGCAAACAAAGGATGTCCTGGACCTTAAGATCGGCCGATCCAGCTGCTATTATTAATGCAGGATCCGTCCAATCAGCATCGGTGTCATCGAGACATTCGAATTCGCAGCATCTCTCGCCGACTCGAAATCTCTTGCATTTCTGCCAACAAATCAATTGGCCAATTTAATTGGTACCTTAACACACGGTGAGGCTGTTAACAGCATTTAATATATATATATATACACATATATAGCAGCCACATACTATCAGATGCACATATATGAAAACATATATTCATATAACAAGTATTTCTCACCGTGACCCAATTCTATTATAGGTTATGCCGCACTGCCATTTCACGGCCAAAAATAACGATTCGGGACTACCCTGTGATATTACACGTTTATGTAATAACGTTAAGTGCCCTTATCAATATAATGCACTCCGCCCTTTGCCGTTCGCTGTAAACTAATATTAGTCGACTAAGAGTCACGCAACTGATTACAGGATTCTTGCTTCTTATTAATGCAAATATGATATCTTGCATGTTTTAAATATTAGCACAAGCTGTATGCTTAGGTATTACTGTATATAGTATATTGTGTGTATATATATATTACTCTTGTTTCACGCAAAACCATATAAATTACAGCGAGTTGAATTTCCAATTACAGAAAATCCAATGATCGTCTGACAGCTGAGATGTAAGAAGAGAAGAATCTGCCTGGGAATCGTATTACAGAGAGCCTATGTAATTGGACGTGCCAATTACATAGCGGGAAAATTGAATAGAGCGAAGACAGCCGTCCTAGGCGAGAAAATCATGTTATCCAATTTTCATATATAATTAAGGTAGACGTCGCTACATAGAAATACGAGTCTAGAATTAAAGAGTCTTTGTGAGCTATTAAGAAATGGTAATTTCATTGAAATCTCTGTACAAAGAGGAGAAGTGGTTTAATTAATATTTTTATAATTATTTTTTTCTAGGTATGGCAAGAGCTTTAAATTGTGTTTTAACTTCCTTACGCAATTTGCACGGATCTGAAAGTAAGGGGACCTGGAAAGGGAAGGAGACCGATAAAAAAATTGCATTTAATTTATTTGCACACTTCACTTCTCCAGTGTGCTTCTGCAGCTGGCTTGATAAACAAAATGCTTTGACCCTGCGCTTAATTCATGTTAACATGTTCACCTATGTGCATATATGTACTTTTATACCGTACATATAAAATATATATATGCACACACCTGGTTACCCTCTGGCATTTTGGAATCAACCGTGCGCAATGGTCTATTTGCTCACTAAATTACAAAAGTCTCTAGAGAAAATTCAGACTGGATTTAATATCAGCACTGAACCTCAAGTTTAACCAAGTTGAAAAATATTTCATTTGCAACGAGGTTATCGCGTGTCGTTGTATTTATTTTTTTCGTTATCAAACAAGTCTTGCAAGTTCTAGACTCTCGTGATTGAAAGTCGGAAGAGCGCAAAAAAAAATGTAGAGCACGCAGTAGTTGAGCGAACACACATTTGTGAATTATTGTTAAGACTCTCGTATTAATTTATTACTCACGTATGGCGGTGTACAATAAATTGATTGACACCACATTGGCTCGGAATGGTAGCAAACGCATAGACTGCAGACTGCAGGTCCTGGTACATACAAGAGGCCGTGTCTCACAGTGCCGCCTTGAAAGTCTGTGCAATTCTCCTCGAGTGCGTCTGAAAGTGTAATTAATTAATTAATATGGGAGAAAGATGAAGATGGTTGAAAGATAGATTTTTTAATAGAGATAAGAAATTAGTACGTCAATTATTTTCTAAGTTTGTATGAACTGTACCTATTCTTGGCAAGATCGCTAAGAGTGTCACCAGGGACAAGATCTGTCCCAGCATCATCCCCACGTGGATGCTGCCCTTCATGACCTTTTAGATTGTGCAAGATGATGGACGATAGTCAAAAGAAATTTTTTTTTTAGTCCTTGTCAACTGGTCCAGCTAATCCAGTTAATCCAGCAGCCTCCTCGCACGGACTGGCGGCAGGAACATGTTCCCTGGTATCAAGACAGTTATGATATATCTGTCATTGTTATCAATTGGATTCTGCGTGGGCACTCTCTGATTACTGCTAAGTGATCTCAACGTGGTGTTGTATCTTAACATGATGCTGATCCTTTGTACCAGTACTTTATATTGGTACGCGAATTCAGTTCTGTACACGGAATGATTAGTGGATGGAATTTGCAAGAATTTGAATAAAGTCTTGCCCGGTGCAACTGCACTTTTTGATGAGGTTGCGTATGTCCGAATGAAGTTGTGGAAAAGGCAAAGAAAGATGGTAAATGGTGAAAGTGATTTTTATTTTGTTTCTTTATTACAAATTTATTTTGTACCTTTGAACAGCATGTCGGTTTTTTATTTCATGCGTCACACGTCACTCTGTTTACATGGTCTTGATAAAGCTCTTGATACGTTTTAAGCAGTGGAGGCGATCTTTGCTGGATCTTTTTTTAAAGTTCTATTGGTCCTTTGATTCTTGCTCAATTTTTTTTTAACTGGTCCTATGCATTAGTCCGGTCAGATTTTACCGACTGTATGCGTCCTGGGTGCACGCCACGCTGTACTGATTGTGACTACAGTCTGTCGCAGTGAGCTGCTGTGAGGTTTGCGGGTCGATCGAACAGGGTTCTCCACCTTGCGTCACTTCACCACCTTGAACCACCCCTATCCAAACGTGGCGCACAGCGATCCCCTTCCTAGCTGAAAGTTTAAATAAAAGCGCACTGCCACCCCTGCGTCATTTTCAAATTCTTACGTGGTATACGTCAACTCGTGATACTGCTACCCCTCTGTTTTATACCTATATGAATCTGGCATCCGAATTAAAAATATTTTAATTTTCAAAATGCTATTTGATTATATATATATATATTATATCCCCGTTTGTATCTCTTTGTATCGCTTTTCAATTCGTTTGTAACCCAAGAGATACGGAGATACAGGATATTTTTAAAATTCCCCAAGAGGGTAAAATCTGCTCAAATCTGCAAACGGGAATTTATTCAGAATCGTTTATACCACTTTTCATTTCGTTTGTATCCCAAGAGATATGGAGTGTGACGTGATTTTTCGATTCACGGTCACAAGGCGACTCCAGCTACCGATTCAGATAACTTCTCGCTTTTTGGTTTCCTTGGGGTCGCCACCCTGTTCGGAAACTACGCTCTCGGGTTTATTCGTATAGTTATGCCAATGCTCTCGGAAGATTTCGTTATGGTTTAGT